TATATATATATATATATATATATATATATATATATATATATTATATATATATAATATATATATATATATATATATATATATATATATATATATGTATATATATAAATAAATATGTATATATATCTAAACATTCGAGAAAAATTGAACAGCAGGGATGGAAAATAGCCACAAATCAATTTTACAAAATAATCTTCCCGACTTAATTAATATGAATTGTCTTTCAGCAAACCAAATCCATTGTATAGTATTTTGAGTTAGAAACGTACACAAAATCCAAAATATGTACGTCTAACAAACATGTACGTTTACGAAACATCCGGAAGAGAAGTTAGCATGCGATTAATTCTCAGGCCACGACATACCGCTACTGATCTCCCATAGCTTCGCAGTACAATCCCTACCACTCGATAACAAGTATTTGCCATTCTTGGAGAACTTTACAGTATCCACCTGCAATAACGACAAAGCGAAATGAAACAGAAAAGCAAAACGTCAATCGACCAACAGAGATACTGGGAAGTTGGGTCATAAGCTCAGGGGATGTGAACCACGCATGCAGAGACACGCGCAATACAATAGCACACCCACCGATGTTACACGAAGAACACACTGTGTCTCACATCACGGATGACATCCATTAAATTATAAACCCTATAACCCTAAGCCCAATAGCCCTCGGGTTTTCTGTTGACCTTTGTCCACCCATGCATCATAGTAAAGCGACGGATTACTAAACCTGAAGCAGCATATTACGTTGCACGATGAAACTTCATTCCCGTGACATTATCGTTATTGGGCGTAGCCCTACCCATGTGACACAATACTAAACCGAACAATATCTATAGCCATGATCCGTACGATATCAAATACACAGAGCCGGCAGCTGGGTTATCACTAGCGCCACTGTAACAATCACAAGACAATTCAATTACATACCCAAACCGCACAACACACGTTGCCTATTATCTACTTGTACAGGGCACAACCACTCGTACGAAAGACACGCACACACGAAAGACACGCACACACGAAAGACACGCACACACGAAAGACGCGCACACTCGAAAGATACGCGCACACAAGCGAAATGCACACAAAAAAGACACACACACAAAAGACGCGCACAAAAGTTACGCACACACGATACACGTACATGTGCAATAGTCACAAGCATGCAATCAAGTCACACAGAAATACACCCAAAATCACATCCCGTATATGTGCACACAGCGTATACGCACAACGATGACACATGCAGATAAATATAAAGTATACACGCGCATATAACACAGGCCCACAAGTTGATATATATGGCATGGAAATAGACTGAGATAAGTACATACACACGTGGTAAAAAAATGTATCGTTAGGCTGATTAGTCTCGTACTTCCGAGTGACCAGGGACTTACATATACACAAACACTACGCACACGCTAAACACGTACACACCACGAACGAACACCCATTACACACTCTTTTGTACACAACGTTACGCACATAATTATCACGATCACACGCATATCAAAAGACAATCGCACATACCGCTCTCCCGTTGTGTGAGTTCTGTATCGTGTTTATACACCGACTGCTGACGCCATCCCACACTTTGATGGCCCCATCGTAACTGCACGACGCGTACAGACTCCCCGTAGGCGAGTAGTCCACCTGTTGGACGTCAGTGGTCGTACGATATGTTAGTGGGCGTGAGGAGTGTTTTTCATGCAGATGTGATTATGTAGTATATAGTCCTAAGGTTTAATCCAATATGAGGACTGAATGTGTCGATGCAACGTGCATCCATTGGATATCTATAATATATATATATATACA